TATTTATTTTTGTTACAGATGTTTCTCCTTTTCCCCCCATTGACACCCTCTTCCTTCTCCCCTCTCCCCCGTCCCCAGCTTTGTTGTCTATGTCCATTGGTCATGCACACATGCATATAAGTTCTGTGGTTTATCTCTCCCACCCACCCCCTCTTCTGGGGATTGTCAGTCTGTACCCTACTTCCACGTCTCTGGGACTACCCTGTTCTTCAGACTGTTATGTTCATTATATTCCACAAATAAGTGAGATCATATGATACTTGTCCTCTGTTTGACTTGTTTTGCTTAAGATAATACTTTCCAGGTCCCTCCATGTCATCTCAAAGGATAAGAGATCTTCCTTTATTACAGCTGCATAGTACTCCATTGTGTGTATGTACCACAGCTTTTTTTTATCCATTCGTCTACTGATCTGTCCATCATTTTTTTTTTTATCCTCACCCGAGGACATTTTTCAATTTTTTTGTTCAGATAGAGTGGGAGGGAGAGAGAGGAAGAGAGAGAGAGAGAGAAACATCGACATGAAAGGGACACATCGAGTGGCTACCACCCGCATGACCAACCAGGGCCGGGGACAAACTGCAACTGAGGTATGCGCCCTTAGTGGGAACTGAACCCGGGTCTCTCTGGACTGCAGGCTGATGCTCTAACCGCAGAGCCAAACTGGCCAGGGCTGTCCATTTTTATGCTGAATGTTTTAGACCTATTACACTCTCTAAGCCCTAGCCTCCAACTATTTAGATAAGAATAATGTCTTTTCTTTGTGGTCCTGCTATTCTTCTATGATATAAAGTATATGTCACAGCTGTTGGCCTATATTCCGCAATAAATTTGTGACTAATGAATGCTTTTATTATAATTGTTATTGCCATTATTATTGATATGACCCTCTAGGCACATATCTTGAAACCATAGATTTTCATTTATTCTCAAACTTTCTGATTTATTTCCTAAAGTTCTGGAGTGCTCTTTGGCAGCAAGCAGTGTCTTACTTGAGGACATAGTTACTAAAATAATGTAATACTGTGGGAAGAATTTAGCCTTTGAAGCCGGAGAGACCTGGTATCAAATCCTGGGTTCACCATATACTACTGCTGTAACACTGGGCACATTTCATCATAGAGCTCCAGTTTTCTCCTCTCTAACACGAGAATTACAATGCCTATGTTGAAAGGTTGTGGGAAGGAGTGAGCAGTATTTGAAAAGCACCTGTTGCAAGTTAGGTGCTAAATCAGATATTATTAACAATGTGACTATTTCTAGCTCTGTTGCAGCCATCTCAGCCAAACGGGAAAGATGGTAACTTTGCTCCCAGTGTCTGCAGCCTCTGCCTATAACCCCCCACATCCCTCACTTTGTCTGAGGAGGTCAATGCCCTTGTTTTGCCATCTAGGCCTGGCCCCCCAAATGTAAGGCTCCCAGCCATTCCATCTCAGTGAGAGTGTTGAAGAGAGGAGGTCATGCTGCACAGGTGGAGTTCTGCACGTCCCCTGAGAAAAACTGACCCAGCTAATATGAAGAATCTCAAGAAATTTAGGAGAGGGTTCCATCTCTCATTTCTCACAATCCATGAAGATTGTGGAGACCAGTTTGGGTCTGAGGTACTGGAATCTGTGCAGACAACCTTCTTTGTCTCTAGGACTAAGTAGCAAACTATGTTCACCTGTTTCTGGGAGACCTCATGATTAAGCATTCATTCATAGTCTGGATCTGCTGTCTGGTTCCAGATACTATAGGGAGGCAGTGGGCTGCTTTGCTGTAGTCATTGACAGCTGTCACTTGACATGAAGTTTTCCTTGCTGGATTAAGTCGGTTCAGCATTACACTCTTCCTTCCACTCAGTTGGGGGTGGAGAACCAGGTCTGGTGGTACAGGATGGCCTTCTGAATCCAGGTGACAAAGTGATGATGAGACCCTGGACACTGTCTTATTGCTTCTGTTTCTTTTCTTCTTCTTGGGTAGTGTATGTTCAGGAGGGAATGAAACCATGCAATCCTTGCCCCTTCTTTAAATGGGAGAGAATGACCAGGGCATGGATTCTGTACTTCCTCATAGCATCTTTATGACAACAATTTTCTTAGGCTTGACTAGCTGGTCTAGGAGCAGAAGATTCGGCCTTTGCCATAGGCCTTTGGGATGGACAATTTCCCCCTTGGTATAGAGATCGGTCAAAGCAATTCCCCTAAATTTTAATAGTGAAACTTACCTAAACTACCAGTGGGAAAGCACAGGCTCAAAGGAAACTTGGAAATTGACAGGAAAAAACAGAGGAAAAATGCCTTCTTACCATTGATTATTATGAAGTCATTCTTTTAAAGATGTAAATATTGCCAAGCTGTGCAGTGCCTTAGTCAGACTGACAGCATTTTCTTACCTAGACAGATTTTTTTCTACATTTGAACACACCTCACCCTCCATTTTCTATGCATCCTTCCCAATCAGTAACATTTTCTGGAGACTGTGACCTTAGGAGTATTTCTTTCTTTTTTTTTTAATTTACATCAATATCCTGATTATTTAGTATTTAAAAAAAAAAAAATCTGACCCCAGGTATCCACACTCCGATTTAACAAATATTGGTGTGTTGTTGCACTTGTTTCTGACAGTAAAAATGGACAACGCAGAATGTTACAGACACAGCCAAAGCTTAATCCACCCATTCCTAGTTCTTTCTTCCTTCTCTATAGTGTCAACTACCATCATGAAGTTGTTTTTACACCTTTTAATACTATTTGTGTGTTTTTATACTTTTACCACAGATGTGTACCATAAATAATATGGTATTGTTGAGTGTTTTGATATATCATACTGTAGGAATAATTTTAAATCTATTTTAACCCAAAATTAATTTTTAGATTTCTATTCATGTGGACACTGTGGTATAGAGTGCATTCAATTTTACTGCTGGATAGGATTGATTGCATGAATAACTAAACTTTCAGTCTATTCATTTTTTGACTACTGGGCAATTAGTTGTTTTAGTTCTTCGGAATTAAAAAGTTGCAAATAATAATATGATCTTTTTCCTTGTGAAGAAGTATGAGCATTTTTCTACAGCATAGATGGAGAAAAACGACTGCATTAAAGAGAATATAAATCTTCAACTTTATAAGATATAGTCAGAGTAGAGGAACTACTTTAATCTAATAGCAATGTCTGAGTTTCTTTTCTTCACATGCTTGTCATTGCACAATGTTCTCATATATTTTAAAAAACTTTATCAGTAATATTTCGTTATTGTTTTAGTTTGTATCTCTCATCACTTGGAAAGTAAATCCTCTTTTGATATATTTATTGGCTATTTTGACTTCATTTTTAAAATGAATTTCTAGCTCATCTTTTTTTTTTAATCCTTACCTGAGGACATTTTTTTCCCATTTATCTTCAGACAGAATGAGAGGAAGGGAGAGAGGGTGGGGGGTAGTGGGGAGAGAGAGAGGAGAGAGAGAGAGAGAGAGAAACATCGATTGGTTGCCTCCCACATGACCCCGACCAGGGCTGGGGCAAAACTGCAACCCTTGACTGGAATCGAACCCGAGGCTCTTTGGTCTGCAGGCAGATGCTCCAACCGCTGAGCCAAACTGGACAGGGCTCTAGCTCATCTTGATTAAGCTTTGTGTCTTGTCCTCATTAATTCATAGGAATTCTGCATATATCCTGAGTACTAATCTTCTGATCCATGGCTTGTCTCTTTGTGACTTTGTTATGGTGGTGGTAGTGGTTATATTAAAGAAACTATTTTAATGCAATCAAATTTATATTTATGTTTTATGCTTGGGGGGGGGGTCTTGATTAAGAAATCTGTTACTACCCTAAGATCATAACATAATCTACAAAATTTTTGTCTGTTTCTGAAATTTTGCTTCCTACATTTAGATTTTAAATACATCTAGGATTTTTTTAAATGCATGGTACGAGGTAGTGATATAATGTTATTGTCCCCTTACGGAAAGACAACTGCCTCAGCACCATTAGTGGAAGGGTCTATTTTTTTTCCTGATTTATAATGCCACTCTGTCAATTACCAGGTCCTCATTATAAATGTGTCTGTTTCTAGGCGCTCTGTTTTCCTCCACTGTTTTATTGGTTTATCTTTGTAAAAATACATTATTTGTTGTAATCAATGTAGTGTTTATAGTAAGATTTGACATGTTATAGTGAAGTCCTACCTTTTAAAATTATATGTATATAGATATTTCAATAATTAATGATATAGGTTAAGAAATAAATCTCTTCTAGGCTACTTTAGAGACCCTGAAAAGATGAGAATTCCTTTTTAAAATTATTTTTGGCTTTCAGATTGTGCTTCTTTGAATGTGATGCCATGTGGCAACTAAATAACATGGGGCCCCAGGAATTTTAGGGTTAAATCTGGGTGTTGAATAAGGCCTGATGTAAGTTTCCTAAGAAGGCTGCCATGATGAATGTAATTGGATGAGACATCTTTTATTTGATCAACAAATTTATATTGTGTGTCCATTAATTATCTGTGACAGATTCTGGGTCCACAACTAATGAACAAATTAGAGATGATTATGGGATGTGTGGACAAGCAGGGGATACACAGTTAAACAGATCATTACACAAAAGTGTGAAGGCCAATGATATTTCAAATAATTTGTTTCCCGAGGACAAACCCTGGAGTCACAATGCTTGGGTCCAAATCCCAGCTCTTCCTTTCTTTACCGCTGTGACAGTGAGACTGTCCACCTCAGCTCTCCCATCCAAAGAGTGGAAATAGTAACAGTACCTACCTCGTTCATTTGTTTAAGACTATTAAATCAGTTACTGCATGTAAACTATTAGACCAGTGCACAAGGACAACATTTAATAAAGATTAACTGTTAGTATTATCATTTATAGAGACTGGGAACACATAGAGAAAGAAAATGGTTGGTTGTATATCCTAACCTATACTTTTTCTACATTTATTCAGCACAAGAAATTCCACCTTTTCCCTTCAACTTTTTCCACCAGCCCCCTCCAGCTAGTGTACCAATATGAGGAAAGATAATCAGAGCAGCACCTCCGAGTTCCTCCTCCTGGGGCTCCCCATCCGGCCAGGGCAGCAGGGCGTGTTCTTCACCCTGTTCCTGGGCGTGTACCTGACCACGGTCCTGGGCAACCTGCTCATCATCCTGCTCATCAGGCTGGACTCTCGCCTGCACACGCCCATGTACTTCTTCCTCAGCCACTTGGCCCTCACTGACATCTCCTTCTCATCTGTCACTGTCCCAAAGATGCTGATGAACATACAAACCCAGAAATTATCCATCACCTATGAAGGCTGCATTTCCCAGACATATTTTTTCATATTCTTTGTTGATCTGGACAGTTTCTTGATCACGGCAATGGCTTATGACAGGTATGCAGCCATCTGTCACCCTCTGCAGTACACCACCATCATGAGTCAAAGTGTTTGTGTCATGCTGGTGGCTGGGTCCTGGGTCATTGCTTCTGCTTGTGCTCTTTTGCATACCCTCCTCCTAGCCCGGCTGTCCTTCTGTGCTGACCGCACTGTCCCTCATTTCTTCTGTGACCTTGGTGCCCTGCTCAAGCTCTCCTGCTCAGACACTTCCCTCAACCAACTGGTAATCTTTACAGTGGGATTAACAGCCATCATGCTTCCATTCTTATGCATCTTGGTTTCTTATGGCCATATTGGGACCAGCATCCTCAGAGTTCCCTGTACGAGGGGCATCTGTAAAGCCTTGTCCACGTGTGGATCTCATCTCTCAGTAGTGACTCTTTACTATGGGGCAATTATTGGCCTATATTTTCTTCCTTCACCCAGTGACACCCATGACAACATAATTGCTTCATTGATGTACACAGTGGTAACTCCCATGCTGAACCCTTTTATTTATAGCCTGAGAAATAAAGACATGAAAGGGGCCTTGAGAAAATTCTTGCATAAGAAAATTCATTCTTCCAACTAATACTTACCTACCTTTTGAAAACACCCATGTGATCTTATTTACATAATAACACGTAAATACAAATGATTAAAAATGGAGCACACTTGGCTTCCTTCTTCCTTCCTTCACAAACCTTGGCTGATGTTGCCCTTAGACTTGTTAGAGGAATAGTAAAACAGGGTATGTTTCATAGAATTTAATTAGCTTTTTTTGGTTTTGTTTTGAAAATATGTTTGTATTTTTTTTAGAGGGAGAGGAAAGGAAAGAGAGAAACATCGATGTGAGAGAGAACCGTTGATCGGCTGCCTCCTGCACACCCTCTACTGGGGATCAAGCCCACATTCCAGGCATGTGCCCTGACTGGGAATCCAACCAGGACCTCTCAGTCCATGAGACAATGCTCAATCCATTGAGCCACACTGGCCAGGCATAATTCACTCATATTGTTTGGGTGATGGGGACTGTCAAATAGTTTGAGGGTGCTGTGTCACTTTGCCTGGAATCATTAAATAGAAGCTACCAGGGATGGTCCTCCCCCCAGTTTTTAAGTTGTAGTAAAATATGTTTGGCCTTTCACATCTCCATTTTTAAGGAATTTTTCATTTTGGTGCTAATATGGCGTTTTCTTCCCCAGGCACTCACACATGCAGGGACCCTGAGCCCTTCTAGAACTTTGAGGGAGAACGTATTAAATTTTACTCTCCTTACATAATAATTAACACACTGCTTTCTTGTCATTTAGGGAATATATCTCCCCAACACATGCAGACATTCAGCAATGAAATGAATGTCACCTCACTGTCTCAGGTACCAGTCAGAGAATTTTTTTTTTAAATCCTCACCTGAGGACATTTTTTTTTTTTTAGATATTTTGTTCAGATAGAGTGGGGGGAAGAGAGAGAGAGAGAGAGAGAGAGAGAGAGAGAGAGAGAGAGGAGAGAGAGAGAGAGTAACATCGACGCAAAAGGGACACACCGAGTGGTTGCCACCCACACGACCCAAACAGGGCCGGGGACAAACTGCAACCGAGGTACATGCCCTGAGCGGGAACCGAACCTGGGCCTCTCTGGACCGCAGGCCAATGCTCTAACTGCTGAGACAAACTGGCCAGGACGAGTCAGAGAATTTAATGTGCTAAAATCATCTACTTTAATCCTGAGACACATCCTAAGAGTTATGTTGGGAAAACTCCAGTTCAAAGAGGTGAAAAACACGTTAGACTTGTTATTAGTGAAAGGAAGACTTGAATCTTGGCTGTCTGACTCCACAGTTTCAGCCAAGAACAATGATCATTTCCGTGGAATGCTGTATCCTGATGAGGAACAATTAGCTCCACCCAGTGGCAGAGGATATATGAAAAACTTCCCAGAGGAGGTGCTGCTTTATCTGAGACTTAACAAATCAGAATTAGCCAGGCACACAATGTTCTATCTTGTCCTGATGATCACAAGCAGAGGGAGCAGCATGTCTCAGGAAATTCCAACGGAGGCACTAAGATTTCAGACACCAGATACCAAAGTGAGTTGTAAGACACAAAATAAAGATGTTTATAGGAAATACCCAATAATCAATTTCATCACTCTTGAGCATCTGAACCTAGATATGGATCTAAAGTGCTGAGATGGAGATGAGAGGTTCTTGTAAAGATGCTACTTTTGGACAAAGCTGAGCAGTGAGCCCCAAATTCTTCCTGGAGGGATATGCCTTCATCCTCACCTTACATTTAATGGGAGAAGCTTCAACTGTAATATTTAGAGAGTTTGATATATACCCCCTTCTTTTATAAGAGCAAAGAGCAATAGGAACGATGAAATGGGAGGAGAGCGAGAACGAGTGGGAGAGAAAGAATGGATGGGAAATCCCTTCACTTATTTTCACAGTGGGGCAATAAAAGCAAAAATGTGTCCTATGGACCACAGGTAGACTATGTGAGAGAGAGACCTCTTATGTCACCATTTTCAGTTCTTCCCAAGAAGACCTATTAGAAAATCTAGGAAATTCCAAGAGAGAAATCTGCAGGGGATACACCACCCCAACGCTGGGGGCTTTGAGGGGAAACAGTCAGAGGAAGAAAATACACTTCAGTTATATCACTGAGAATGTGCAGGAAGGCAGTCCAGATGGAAGTCTCTGAATGTCCCCTGGCCTAGAATTGACAACAAAAGAATGAGTTCATTTTAACCATCACCCAGGTCAAGAGGAGTCACACCTCTTTCAGATGGTAGCAACCAGAGGAGCATATTATTGTCCCCCTTTCTCCCCCTTGCTCCATCCCCACAAGGGCGGGTACAGTAAATGCAACTAGACTTCAGAAAAATATCAGGAAAGAGATAATACACCATTCAGATTCTTGCCTTCGGCTGGATCCAAGGAGGGAAAGGGACATTTAAGTACAGAATCGAGACTGTGATGGAGAGTAATCTTTGCCCTTTCTGATACCCAAGGGTTAGAAGGGAAAGTACGGGGTCTGTAAGGATTTTTATTCAGCAGAAGAGGAAAACAAATTCTCAACTAAAAATACATTGAAAAAAATAGCAGAAAAAATTACATCTCCTCAGTAGTACTTGTTCAACATTCCAAATGTGAAGCGTGGTATACTGGATTATTGTTTTTAAAAAAATGTACTTCTTCCTCCCCACTTCTGTGGTAGGAGTATACTCCATTCCATTGATGTTAAGCTTGCCTGTGACAGAAGGGCCTTTTCATACTCCTGTGCATCAGTTAGCTCTTGCCACAAAAATACCAAATAAAAATGAGCACAAAAATCTCAGCAGCATTCAACAATAAGCATTTCTGTTACTTATGAGTCTGAGGGTTGGTGGAGGTTTGGCTGATTTAATTTGGGGCTTGACTCATGCAGCTTGGCATGGTGGCTTTCTGGTCTTGGCTGGTCTCAGTCATGTGTCTGCATCCAGCTACAGGTCAGCTGATCTAAAGTGGGTTCATCTGGGGTGGCTCTGTCCCATGCATCCCTCATGCTGTTCCCGAGACTTGCATATGGGCACTGTCTCAGCCTCCTGCCCAATCCTCCTTGTTTTTATGCCCTATACTACATTGTTTGTTGTTAACTTAGCATTATCATCACCTACTTCTAAGGTGTCTCCTGCATTGTAGTGGTGAGGCTGGTGACTATATTTTCCTTTTTTGAATTGTCTATGTTTAACGTTTTCCAATGAGAGGAACTGTGAAAGATTTAGAAGGCAGAAGAGGAGAAGCTATCACTCTCTGGAGAGCATCATGGGTGGACACAGAGGCAGATGTGAGGTTCACAGAAGTTTCCCATTGAGCTCCTAAAGGCAGCTGCATTGCTGCTGCAGACTGCTTTGTGCCATCTCAGCCCGTCCATCGCAATATTATTGTGATTCCTCCCACTTTGTTCTTTTTCAAGATTGCTGTGGCTATTCGGGGCCTTTTTTGGTTCCATATAAACTTTTGAATTATTTGTTCTAGTTCTGTGAAGTATATCATTGGTATTTTGATGGGGATTGCATTGAATCTATATACAGCGTTGGGTAGTATGGACATTTTAGTGATGTTAATTCTTCCAATCCATGAACAAGGTATATGCTTTCACTTTTTAATATCTTTCTCTATTTCTTTTTTCAATGACCTGTAGTTTTCTGTGAATAGGTCCTTTACTTCTTTGGTTAAGTTTATTTCTAGGTATCTTAATTTTTTTGCCTCAATGGTAAATGGGATTGGTTTTTAATTTCTCTTTCTGTGAGTTCATTACTGGTATATAAGAATGCCATCAATTTCTTGATGTTAATTTTGTATCCTGCTGCTTTGCCAAATTCATTTATTAATTCTAGTAGATTTTTGATGGAGCCTTTAGGGTTTTCTATGTACAATATCATATAATCTGCAAATAATGACAGTGAAACCATCTATTTTTATGCTTTAGGTTGAAATCTTCAGTCTTAGCCTTTTCAATCTGTAGGGGCAGCTTCCCTGCCCTCTGTTCCCAGCTCTTGTAACAGTTGTATAAGGAGGACTTTCATTCTACTCTCCTGAACAAATAAATCCTTACTGATCAGCTTCCACTTAAAAATTACCCATCATTTGCCCTGGCTGGTATGACTTAGGGTGGTTAGGGTGTCCCCCCACCTTGCACCAAAGGGTCACGAGTTTGATTTCTGGTCAAGGGGATGTACCTGGGTTGTAGGTTGGATCCCAGGCCCTTGTAGGGTAGAGGGGGGATGAGCGGAGGTAACAAATTGATGTTTCTCTTTCGCTATCTCCCTTCCTCCTCTCTCCCACCCTTCCTTCCATTCTCTCTAAAATCAATGGAAAAAAATATCCTGGAGTGAGGATTAACAAACCAAAAAAATTATCCATCATTTTTCTTTATCTTTTGGAGTACAGATGAAATTCTGAGTACTACCCAATTGATATTTTCATTTTCAGTCAAAGACATCTATTTTGAGAATGTGCCACTTCTTTTAATACCAAGCCATGCACGGGAAAGGCTGAGAATCATTTCTGAGCCCCTGGGAGAAAGAAGTGATAAAAACGGTAGCTTTTTATGAGTGATGGATTGATTACTCAAAAGAAAAATGAAATCTGCATGTTAGATGGAACACATAAATATTTTTGTGAATTCAAAAATCTGTAGATTTTTTTCATGCAGTATTTTTATCTCCAAGTGGTCCTGGTTCCCACAATTCACCTTATCACTCCCATGCTCTTAGAAAAATCCAGGTAATTATTGACTTTTTACAGTATTTTTAGACTATTTTCAGATTTTATTTCTTGTTAGAGTGGGTATATTTCATGGTTCTTATCCTGCCATTCCTGTTGACATTAGTTTAGAATAATAAGTTTTAATGCAAAGTATACTATTCTTCAGTGCTTTTGAGAAATGCTTCAAAGCATTGAAATGTTTTCATTTCAGTGATCATATTGCCTGGCCAGTGGGGCTCAGTGGATTGAGAGTTGCCCTATGGACTGAGAGGTCCTGGTTCTATCCCCAGTGGGGGACATGCAGGAGGCAGCCGATGTTTCTCTCCCACATTGATGTT